TGTAAAAGATTCTGCCTGAAGTCCCAAGTCTTCAATATTAATTTTCCTTCTTTTTTTCATCATTTTTATATTTAACAAATATGACACCAATGCTGAAAGAAGTGTGTTTTTTCTCATTTTAAATTACATTGAAAGTGTTGCCCGATTCTGAATCTTGTTAATTCTTTCGTGCCTTTTTATTATTATTATTTCTTTTTCTGGTAGGTAGCCGCGTACTTTTTGATATCTATTTTAAGTTATGCTCACCTTCCAGGTTTTTTGTATGTTGACTTTTTGGTGTGATTTTATGCCAGAGAAGCAAAATAAAATGATGATCATGATGCTTGCTTACATTTTTCTGCTGTCTGACAAAGCGCTGTCATTTTCATCAGCGGCACTTGAGGTAGTTTCAACTAAGGAGTCTGGGGGCGGGTCTAGTTGGAACCCTGACAATCCTTTCTCACTTTTGTGCGATTCGCATGTCTCTGGTATCAAATGAAGTATTTGGTGACAGATCCTGTCAAATTATGATCCAAATTTAAATTATGGAATAAGTAATCCTTACTTCACAATTTGATGGTGCTTGTTGGGCGACAAGAATCTGATATAGGGTCGGGGTATTCATCAGTTGGTCCATCGCCTCCATGAAAATGCATGATGGAACACATTGCTTGTATGAAAATTTATTTCATATAAGAATTAACATATTGAATATATCAGGTATCGAAAACAATATTTATGTTGGCCTACCTTGATACACACGTATGTATTTCTGGTGATTTTTCCTAGATTGAATTGACTGTAAGGCCTGTTGCATGCCTTTATCCACCTCATTGCTTTTCAGCGGTCAATATGTGGCTTCGGAAATAGCACAAATCTTACTCCATTTGAACGGCAGGTGTACCGTACAGGTTGTCAGACCGACAAATGCCATATGCGCAGCGTTTACACATAGTCAGTCTACCGAAATAATTCACTAAGTAATAGATTCTGTTTAATAAAAATGCAACATCGTATCGAAAGCGAATTATTCCGTACTGACATACGGTAGGCCATCGGTACCCTTGATTGCATCAGCATGACTGTCTACTATTTTTTGATTCGAAATAGCAGTTAGCAGACCTGTACAGTACGTACCGGTACCTCCTGTAAGGTGCCTGCAACGGGTACAGTCTTTTAGTATAGATATATAGATTTCGTGAACGTGATTTGCGACAAGTAACATACATTATTACAGCTTTCTAATTCTCGCAGCCCTGTGAAGAAAACAAAAAGCGAAAAAAAGGGCAAAGATCTGCCTAAACCGCCAGCGACCTGTGCGGAACGCGTCCAAGGTTGTCTGAGCGACTTTTCAGCGGAGAATGTTTGGTTACATCTGCTCGCTTGTGATTGGTTGAGAATACGGATGTTTTGATGTCGGGGAAAGGTCCACTGGCAGGCTGGCCAACATTTTTGTTCGTAGGCCCAGTTACTAAATAATTTAGTTTTCACCTCTTGCAGCCTTGGTACGGTACCGGTAGTTTAAATAACACGTCAGCATGACTTCAGTAAATGATTGCTAGCTGTACAGGTATAAGTGCGTAAAACCAGTAAACAAACGTGATAGAAATGGTATGGGTTATAGATTGTCAATATTAAACGCTTGCGGTACCGTACCCAAAGCGACATTAGCGACGCATTTGCAGCACATATCCCACAGAGCACGACGCGCGTTGGCAGGATCTCAGGGTATAGTGAAAATGACGTCATCGGAAACACCGCGCATATTAAAACTCTATTGAACGATTATCAAAAATCTTGACCATGTTTATCATGATAAAAATATTAAAAAAGATGTAAAAATTATTCTATCATCAGAACTGCCCACGTTTACAATGAAAGATATCTAAAAAATTACAAAAAATGCAAATTTCTGCTTTGGTGATCATATTCCCAATCCCCATAAGAGCTAATGTTAAAATTGTTTTGTTTACATCACTTTTCTTTTTGCGCGTAGGATGGGTTTTTAATGACTAAGGTCCATTGCGAAACAATTAGTTGCATCTGATCAAGTATTAATACATTATGACCATAAGACACCGATGAAATTAAATTGTGATGCTAGTCAATATGATATTGGTTTCGTATTATCGAATGTAATGAAAGATGGATCAGAGAGACCCATTGCTTCGCGTCACGAAGATTAACAAAAGCAGAAATGAACTAATGGCAAATTGAAAAAGAAGCTCTGTCTATAGTTTGGGGGATGAGAAAAAGTTTTACTATGTTTGTATGGAAAACAGTTTACAATGGTTGCAGCCCATCAACCACTGACATCCATTTTCCACCCAGGTGATTCAATTCCAAAAATGACAGCTGGTCGTTTACACCGATACTTAATGTTTCTGGCATCACATCCGAATTATGATATTGAATATCGAAAAACTGAAAATTATGGTAACGAAGATTTTTTTAACAAAATTCTCATTGTCTGAGAATTCACATACAGACGATGAAGAATATTCTTTACGTTGCATTGTTGAAGTATTGTCCGTCACAAGTACGGAAATAAGAAAAGCAACCACTCATGGGACAATATTGTCCAAAGTAGAAGATTTGGTTCGGAAAAGAGAGGCCAAACAAACTCAAAAATCATAAATTGCAACCATATTTCAATAGAAGACAAGAACTCACTGTTTCCAAAGGATGTTTTGTTTTGGGGAAACAGAGTGGTAATTTCGCCCATATTATGTTCGAGAATTTTAGAAGAAGAAGCCTACATGAGTCAGATCCATACAGTCAAAATGAAAGCTTGGAAGGGTCAATCATATGCCTGGTGGCCACAGCCTAACAACTCAATTGAAAATAGAGTAAAGGAATGCTCTTCTTGTCAGGAAACGCAAAAAGTGCCTGCGAACTACATATGAGGAATTTGCATGGGAAACGTTGATTGCAGGATCCTTCAGGGGTATGATGTTTTCAACGTGCATTCAAACGAGCAGGAGTGATCCCGACACTATCAGTTATCACATCGCAAAGAACTATCGAAGGACTCCGAAATATGTTTGCAAGTCATGATATATGCAGACAATTAGTGTCTGACAATGGACCTACTTTTACGTCGAAAGCTTGCAAATTTTATGAAAATAATGGAATACACCATTTACGATATGAGCCGTTTCATCCTTCTAGTAATGATATGGCAGGAGGATTTATTGGAATTTTTAAGAGTTTCAATCTCCAAGGGCGGAAGGAGAAAGGTGATATTTTACACAAACTGGATACTAGCGTACATAAATACACCTCATTCGATAACGGAACTAGTCACCAGCCATGTTATTGATGAAGTGACCTTTACGCTCACGTTTAGACTTGGTCAAGCGTGATCAAAAGTTAATGAAAAGCAAACTAAAATGCAAAATTAAAAAAGAAATGGTAAAATGAGATATTTTGAATTTGGTCAAGCGGTCTTGGCTCGTGACTATTCTAGCAAAAAGAGAAGATGGGTCAAATATTTCTATTGGCGTCAGGGTGCTGTCCAGCCACAGGGTAATCAAGAAGCACAACAACATCCTATACGCTGGCGCAATCTTCTCAGGAACAAGAGGTCGCCTGACAAATTAAATTTTTAGTGATATATATTGATAATGGACACTCAATTGATGGTCTATTGTAAATGTTTTGACATGGCCCATTTTTTCATGATAAGAGCAGGGTGTTGTGTATTTTCGTCGTAGCTCTTGTTTCTAACACGTATTAGATTTTTGATTATGATGTCATAATCGTTTTCCGGAATTGCTCCTTGCTTTTACCTGCCCGCTTGTCATTCATTCTGCTGGCTGTTTTGAAGTGTCTGACGTTAAGATACGATTTACTGACGTATTGCTTTGCGGGATAATATTTCTGTCAACTGGTGATTTGGTAATACCCATGACATCACAATAAAAACTTCAATATTCGGAATATAGGAATGGGTGAACTAAAATAAACCACGATTGCAAATGGTATATTATATTATTTGCACGAACATCCAACATTGACGCACATATAGGTATCATCTATGACGGATACAGATGTGGGTTTGAATCTGTTCGATCGAGTTGTAGTGAATGCTAGATTAGACGGGAGGTAAGGGAAGAAAGTAAACTGGCATATAGAGTCGGCAGAATCACAGCATTTTGTAGTTACTAAACAACTTCTATATAGGCCTACATTTCTTGTGATTGCTAGGCGGGATTGCTAACGTTATCTGATTTCTACGTTAAACATCAGCTTTATGTAACCATTAACGTTTAAGATTGTTATGGAAAGTTTGAAATCAAGTGAGCTGAAAATTTTTAGGAACAATTGGGAACTTGGACAAAATAAAATTTATTCCGTGGGATTTTAGTTATTTCTAACCGCGATATATTGAAAAAAAAATGTGTGGCCAGCATAGCGATAGAGCGGAGTCAATATTGCAAGAACAGCTCATATTTGTCGAATTCGCAAAATATGTATCGAAACAAGATGCAATCTGGCACACATTGTATGCCCGCGGATTGCAGTCGTATTTTAGTAGTAATGCGGTTATTACGTCGACGCAACTGCGAATAACATTGAACACAATTAAATTATAAATCGGCCATATTAAATATGCCCGTATCGGTCATGGATTGATTACCTTGCGCAACAAAAATATCATTGTCCGTTGAAAAAGTAGCATAGTAACATAGAAAGACATTTTAAATTATCTTTTTTTCATGGATTGACTATTTTACGCGACAGGAAAATCATTTATTATACACGGAGAAAATAGACCATTTAAACGAGCGCGTAACCACGGCGACTCTCCCCGATTCCCATACTGAAATTTTCCCTTTTGAAAATCATGACTGCACCCCTTGTAACACCTAAAAAGTTCAATGGGTATGGAGCCGGACATAAAAAAATGAAGCGCCGGAGCTGGAGCCACAGTCGAATACACGTGGCCTGTGATTTCGAACCAGCTTCCCAGCCCTGCAACCAACAATGAAAAACTTTTTATGGCATCAACAACATTATCGTGATACTCTGACGTATATTTGATGAAGACAGATACATTATGTTTGCAATAAAAGATACAAAAAAATAGAAAGTGCCAAGCAAGGCGTCAAACGTAAATTGAACTCTTTAGAAGCACATTTGAAAATATTTGCCGACAACGGCGCGTTCCAGCGGCCTACTTTTCGCGAAACTGGCATGCTCTCCTCTGATATGGCAAATGTTTCAATTCCTGTTATATTATCAAATATATTTTTTTAGCGATTCACTGATAGCTGATCATACAATTTCCGAAGTAGAATTGCTAAACGACATGGGAATGCATTCACTATTAATGCCAAATTAGTGCACGGGATTATGCAAAATTCGTATCCATTGGTAAAATTGAGACTATTATGAACTAATTAAAAACTATTGTGCGTAGTTTTAGCATTTAAATAAAATATTCCATAACACACATTTTTAATTCTATCATTCGAAAATGTATTTTAATGGTTTATGAAAACAATTCTGAACAGACTGAGAGATCATCACATCGAAATAAATCGATAAGTTTTTTTAATTCGGAAGGAACGAATTCCTTCACCATTTCATGGCATTAAAAAATAAACACAATAAAAATCGCTTGTTAGTTGTTAACCAATGACCAAATGGAACTCAAACTTGTAAATGATGTAGACAGCAACAACACTCAATTAAATATTCCGCTTGCTGTATATATTATCAGATTCGAATATCGTTACAATATATAATTTCTTTGATATTCCACACATAAAAACAAATTTTCTGGAACTGTTAGAACAAGCAAAAGTTGGTTAAGTTGAAATCAAACAAGATATTTTGTGGCAATAATGAGGAAAAATTCCGACTATTAGTACCAGAATATGACTATGGCTTTTATGACTAAGCGACGGTATATCACGCCAATATTTTCCGCCCTTCATGTCCAAGGGGTGATTGAGTAATGCGACTGCGCGTTCCTTTTTTGTTCAGAAATGTTGCCGGAAACTAATGGCTTGTGGGACTGGACGGAGGTACGAGGCATTAATAGACAGCCGCCAATTCACGGCGTGATGTTATGTTCATTCGACAGGAGACCAAATTCAAGAAAAACATTCATAGAAATCTAAAAGTATCACAAAAATAACAGGATTGGTCAAACATGGTTGACCATTAAAATGTACAAAGACAGTGGTTTAAGAATATTTGCTAATATAATTAAAGTGTACCAAGTACGGTATGGATAAATACTATCCACGACCCATGCTTTGCTGCTGCAACTGTTTACTTTTCTCATCACTCAAGTTTACCAAGTACTGCGATGTGAAAATATGATCAGTCAAAGAAATTTCTAAGTACAGCAAACTGTGTTTCAAGTATATGAATCGTGTCAGCTTCGCCTTAGCGAATGTTAACAAATGGTTTCATGTCTATTTTATTACAAAGCATGTGCAAATACAAAAACAGCTGATTATAAATATATGTCTACTCTAGATTATCAACGATTTCTTGTTTAATTTTAACAGTCCCATCTTTATGCTCGTCGTCATTATTCGACATATTACGATTTTCTAATGGCACTTTTGTGACATTTGACCCACAATTTGCCCTTACATTGTTATTAATACTGTCTTCTTGCGAAGTGTTACTAGAACAGGGTTCTATTTCGCGGATAACATCAGAATACTCTGGTGGTGGCTCGTCGATGTGACCCAAAATGTACTTGCATATACATTTATCTTTTTCGGGCGACGCCGGGTTGTGGGATGAGTATTTTATGTCACTGTCGCTTAAGCAACTTATTAATTTCAAGTTAACAGTCGAGTCTTCGTGTCGGTACTTGGAGCCCGCTCGACCGTGCTTTGAAACCGACGTGGGTGGCCCAGGATATCCATTGCAAATTTTACGCATTTTACGGTGTAAGTTTGATGTGGACCCCATAGGTAAATCTTCACTTCCAAAAATCGTCCTATTTGGAGGTGGTTTTATGAAACTTGTATCTCGCTGGCTTACGCTACTTAAAGTATGATGTTGATTCTTGTGTTCTGTCCGATCTAAAAGATTGGAAAAATTAATCAGTTAAATCTCCAAGGAATGTTCTAAATATCATACATCATAAAACAGAAAGACATCACATCATAAAACAGAAAGACTTCAAAATGATATTGTGTTTAGTATAAATAAATTGAAAAAAAAAATCATTCTTTCAGACTTTGACGTGTCGGGAGCTAGAAAATTTACTTCCAATTCACGATGAGTGACAAACGCTGAGGCTGATACACTGACTTGACAAATTATAATACCTGAACAGCTAACTCTCAATCACATCGCCTACAACGATGTTTTTCATTATACAAGATGAATATTTTGTGAGGTGCCCATTAAAACGATATAAAACTTATTTTACTTACGTTTATGTAAATCTTCTCCATCTGGAAAATGCACAGTAGATGGTAGTGTCGAATGTCTTACTGATAAACTCGGTGAATGCCGGTAAGGATTATTTGTCATGCGATTGAATTTGTCAAAAGTATTGTTAGGTAGAAGTGCTCCGCATCCTGAAATGAATAACAATATGAATTTTAGCCAATGGAAATTATTTGTTGTTCTGCTTCCCATCGCTATCATATTTAAATATGTTGGAGTCATACTCAAAAATCCAATTCAAATATTCATCAGATTCACAAGACTTATGTGATCCGTTTTTTAACAATTCAAAACAAAGGTATCAAATCTATTTTAAATCACAGCTCTAAACCATATTCACTTAAATTAGCTGCATTAAATGTTCGATTTCTCAAAACACATTCCTCAAATATGATATATTTTTTAATTTGTTCGACAATAATTTTCCTATAGGTGAGGGAATTAAGAAGAGTTGTACCAAACAAACTCACCTCCACTGATTGTATTTGGACGACTGGCAGGCGGTAAAAATTCCGACGCGTATTGTGCCGTCAAAATAGGCTGGTGGGGATTTTCTGCTATCTGACAAACAATGCAATGTACGTGTTGAGTCGATTTGCTTGTTCCGTTCGGATGCTTGAATTTCGTTTGTACGTGACTATGATGATGATGGTGGTTATGGTGACTGCTATTAGGCTTCGACGTGTGTGTGTGGGCATGACTCGCTGTCATGTCTTCCGCTCTACAGTGTTGTTTTCGACTATTACTCCGTTGAAGTTGAGTATTCGATGGGTTTTCATGCTCTAACATAATAAATTCGCTTTCTCCAGTCTAAAGTATTAAGTAAAAACAGAAAATTAGTTAGGGTATGTCCAGGAGTAGGAGGTTGCAGTCCTCTTTCGCTTGTGACACAAATTGATTATTTACTTTACAGTATTGCTATAGGTCAGGTAAGTGAAAGTGTCTTAGCGTTGTAGTTGCATTCTTGCTGGTGAAAGTATCGTATTGCACGCCTTAAATTTTAACACTAGGTTTTTGAGTGGAATTTGTGCCAGTGCTTACCAAACGTCATGTAACACTATTGCCAAGCATCAAATAATTACACGGCGGAAAGAGTCGAATTAACTGCAAGTACTCGCAGTAAACTGCGGTAAACTGTAATATTACAGTACATGCCGTATCGGGATTAGTAAAGATTAAGCTATAAAAATTTGTTTCAATCCAACGAGTTTGCATACTACACTAGCTTACTGCTACATGGGTCAGACTACTTCATATAACATGAATGTATATAAATACTTTCTACAAAAACTGGATCAGGATTCATTAAATATAAAATGACAATGTACATGACGGCTCAGCTGATATTGCACTGGGTGTTATTCGTTTTTTTATATCAAGGTTCGCTAACTTAGAATTATTAGATCAAAATCTCGGAGATGCAACTGAAATATAAACTTTTCCGGTATCACTAAGTAGAATCTACAGGTGAATATTTATGTACAACACTTCTCCAAGAATATAATGACGTTGCACAATGAATAATAATGTGGGTCATCCAGTTAACACACCGCTGACAACCGAGAAGACAAGGTTCCCCAATGATAATTCTTGAAAACGTTTATATAGAGCGAGATATACTTCAAGCTAGTACCATAGCGTGGGGTTTACTTCTGCATTTTCAATCCATAATACACATTACCTATTTCTATACATTTAATTCATCAATTTATGGCATAGATCTGACCCTAACGCTGTAGCCCCCACACTGCACATGGGTAAGCGATATATGGAGGTAAACATCGCGCTATTGTAGCACCAAAAATACTAAATATTCAATTTATATTGAGACCTCTTCCATAACCATAACAAATTAATATATATCAATATAAATATATCAAAGGACATTCGGCGATTCCTAGTCGAAAACATCGTTAAAAAAAATATCTAAATCTGACAACGGTTTTTCTCTCTATCTCTCACTTTGACATTCGCAACATATACTCATCGTCCAAAATAACCAATCGATCAAAAACTACTTTGATATGTTGTTCTGAACTATCAAATACCCTCAGACAACAAAGAAATTGTATCATCCCTCAAGGATGAGGTTGTGAGGCTCAAAATCAAAGTAATCTCAGGACATACATGTCCCATATCGGACGGCGAACATTTTATCGTCTCAAACAAATACTGTAACTCGGCAAAAGGTTCGCATTTACTGTAAAAGATCTGAACACCAAAATATTAATAAATTCAGACAAGGTATTGGGCAAAAGATGCTGCTATATGTATGTTATAATATTTTTGATATTAAGTAAAACAATGATTTATTTACAAATATTATTTTAATTAAGGTCTGAAACGCAAGTGAATGACAGACGAACATCACGAGAAGTTGGCGATAGCCAAGGTCATAATCGATGCAGTCACGTACAGGTTGGTAAACTCGTCGCGCCATAAAGATTTGTGGTGTCGCGTCTATTGTGCTCACAGTGGTTAAAGAAAGTCAAACGTTTATTGGGGAACACGTAATAACTTGAGTTCGATTGACGACTTGTTGCCGTAACGAAAACTTTCACACAAATTCATCCGACATAATTAAACACTTAGCCCTGAAAACATAACAATCTATAAGCTTGAAATAAAACCAGATAATCACGAATGTAGAAGACGATGCCACAATTAACTGACGCTGGTGAGCGCAATTGCACCTGTATATTTTTGCACCTAAATATTTCACTCACAGATATTTGTACCCGTATATCTTCGCAACCACGGTCATGTTCGACCAACGGATATTTGCGTCTCAGACAAAATTTTATTTTCTCATTAAATATATTGATCAAGATCCTCTATAAACTGTCTACGGTCACCACGTTTTTTTTTCAATTTTATTACAAATAATGACCCGATTCCCCTCTTTAGTACTTGTTACAGACAGTCATCGTCTTTTTTAACGAAATATCGCAAACGTATTAAACTCCGGAATCTTTGGCTAATGGACACTGGCAACTGCATTGTATGAATCCTAGTCACAAATAAATGCTTCGTGTGAATTAACTAATCGCAAACAGGTTCTAATGAGTTTGTATTGAATACTAGCTATGAAGATATAACGGTATCGTGTCCATCACAATTGATGGCTTGTTTACTTCACGGACTGGTGCGAGGTTTAGTGCACAAAAACTAGCCCCGCTGAGCATAATTAAAAATAAAATAAATAAATGGAATTTTTGTTTGAAACAACCGCACGTAGAAATATGCGTAGATGCTAGGGATGCTAGGTATGGACATTACAGAGTCCGGCATTACAGAGATTCGACGAAATGGAAAAGCAGAAAAATGCGTTTTTGACCATGCTACAGCATTGTGCGCTCACAAACATACGTTGTAGCTCATACTTTTTGCCCAATGGTTCCGCATGTAGCTGTTGAATCATTTGAGAAACATATTTTTCCTCTTTTTGGCGGCCATAATGCAAAACGTAAACGTGGGTCATTGTGCGCCTTGGTTGTGAACTGTGGATTTCCAACCCACCACCTTGCGTTAATTTTATTTATAAATCCGTACATGTCAATATGCAAAATAAAAAGCTTTTGGCTACAATGCTTCTCCATAATTGCAGATACTTCTAGCCGTAAACTTACTATGTCGCGTGCGCATATGGTAGAGAGATACCACTCAATACAATGTGGTACTTCTGCTTGTAATTTAGTAGTTCATGTGCAAGTTCTAAATTTCTCCATGCTTTCCATTGCTCCCTTTTTAGGTAAAAGATTGCACGTAATAAACTCGATTTAAAAAGGGTATTGATGAAATTGCCCCTTGGGTTGATCCAGAGCATGTTTAATTTTTACGCGAATCGAAAACTCAAAAATATTGCGCTTGTCCATATTTTATTGTTCACACACACCAAAAAGGATAGATAGTTTGAAGGCGACTGGCCGCTACATCATTGTTATAAGCGATCAATAATTTTCAACTCGCGTTATATTATATGAATATCTGTCGTCGTTTTTATTGGGAGTGTTTATATTGCAAACAAGGTATATTGTTACATATCTCACCCTAAATTTTAACTAGTTCAGGTATGTACTGAGATTTATAGAGGTAAAAGTACAAACATAGACGTAAATCAGTAAAAACAGAATTGATTATAGACTCGATAAAAATGACGTGGACTCGAAATCGAATCCGAGTTCAAAAAATGCGTGGATTCGACTAGAATACTAGTCCGGATCCGAATCTCAGCCCCTCCCTAGACTAGATGCGCAAAGATCTGCGGGATCTCGTGTTCAAGGGTGCAAATGTACATGTATGCACATTGCTGGGTGCAATCTGAAAGCGGGTGGTAGAACGTGGGTACTCCTGTAGTATGTGTATCAGGTTATGGTTAGACATAATTTTTTTTCCGATTTTCCTTATTTTAGTTCTATTACGAGTTAGGGGACTGTCTGCTTTAGTCAAGTGAATATACCCCCTGTCCATGGGCTTTCGTCCCTTTATACAACTCGATGTAAAGCAGGCGAACAAAATTAGTTACCTCCATATTGGTACACATACTTCTGGAGCGCAAAATCATGTGGGATCAAAGATAATGGAATCTCCGACGCTGACATTTTGGGATACTATATCTAGACTCTAGCTGATCACGGCATTACAAACAAACACATCGATATTCCTTTTTACTAAAATAACAAGAATTTATATAATGAGTATTTGTCTAATACACATTCGGCCACAATCTAGGGGTCGAACGTCTGTTGTATAATCTGAAATTATTAGCAACCTTGGCAATTCCTGAAACTGAAAACTCAAGTCATGTCCCGATGAAAAAATACTATAAAACGATGAAATACATCTTATAGTCCACGAAGATTAAAATCAGTGCATATTATTTTTGGTAATCTTCCACACATCGTGTAGTGAAACAATTGGCGACATACCAGTGTTCCCATCCTTATATGACTCTTGACAGCTTCCAGAGCCTTTTAGCACCCATGCCCCCTGCTTTTTATTTTTAGAAGTATTGTTTTGAAATCCCATTGTGTCCAAACAATTCAACAAAGTGAAAACACCTTATCAAGCAATAAAATTAGGAAGAACGGGAAGTTTTCTTGTTGAGGGAAAATCGGGATTGCCTAGCATAGTGGGTCCCCTCCAACTGCTCTGTGGCCCTTCAGGGTCCAAGGACCCCGGTTGGGAACCTCTGCCCTATACCTAAGAGAGTAGAAAATTCACAATAAAAAATAACACTTCTGTAGGCAAACGTATCTGATCTGATAAATACAAGCGATGGCTATTAGACAAGTTACAGGTTTGGAAATCCGAATAAAATCTGCATCACTACATCAACGAGGACTGAGGAAAACAATGGTGAATACATTCTAATCAGATATTGTGTAGGTTAGTCCTGTATGAATGTTTATCATATATGAGAACCCATATGATATGAGTCACTGAAAAAACTTTGGTCGGAAATGTATGGAATATATTCGGCACTGCACGTCTGATTCAATTTATGAACATTACAATTTCTTCGAATTCGTTTAAAACTGAGATATTTATAAATAGATTTTATAGTTCACATTTATCTCAAGTTGTCATTCAATATTAAACCAGTTTTAACTCGCATTTCAAATCGGTTTAAATGCAGAATATCAGGGAGAACTTTCACAATTGCATTATAAATTGTTTATTGAAATTATTCGTTTGTAACAGACAGTGATCCAAGTTTAATTTTTTACGTATAACTCATTTAAATTGTTTGCAATTGAATTATACACACCAGATTGAAAATTCATAATTATTCGGTTAAACGCTAATTT